AAAAAAAAAAAAAAGGATGGTGAGTGGGTGAGGACATGAGGTGCTTCTGTAGTGCACCATTTCTTAACCTTGGTGGATCTTACACAAGCATATTCACTGTGTAAAAATCCAGCTGTCTTTATACTGATGATTTGTGCAGCTTTCTGCATATAATTCAATAACAAAGGTTTAAGAAAGTATGTCTCTCTCACTGCCTATTACTTTGGGGAAGTAATTTCACATTTTGCAGCCCCAGTTCTTCTGCCATAAAATGCTGTGTGAATTTAAAGAGATGGTAAGGTTGGGTGTGGTGGCTCACACCTCTAATCTCAGCACTTTGGGAGGCCACAGTTGGCAGATTGCTTGAGCCCAGGAGTTCAAGACCAGCCTGACTAACATGGCAAAACCTCATCTCTACTAAAAATACAAAAATTAGCTGGATGTGGTGGTGTGCGCCTGTAGCCTCAGCTACTTGGGAGGCTGAGGCAGGTGAATTGCTTAAATCTGGGAGGCAGAGGTTGCAGTGCGCTGAGATTACATCACTATACTCCAGCCCTGGTGACAGAGCAAGACTCTGACAAAGGAAAAAAAAAAAGGGTTAGAGGGAAAGCTATTTGTAAAGTTTAAATGATGTAAATAAATTACAATGTGTATCTCATAGGTTATGTCCTGAATGGACAACTGTCTCTCACAGTGTGCCAGACGCTGAATATATGCCTTCCTTTGATTTATCTTCACACTACAGTTCTCCTAAATTTACACTTGAAGACACTGGAGGCTCAGAGAAGGAAAGTGGCTGGGCACAGTGGCTCATGCCTGTAATCCCAGCACTTTGGGAGGCCAAGTGGGGCAGATCACCTGAGATTAGGAGTTTGAGACCAGCCTGGACAACATGGTGAAACCCTTTCTCTACTAAAAAAAAAAAATAAATAAAAAGCAGGGCATAGTGGTGCATCCTTGTAAACCCAGCTACTTGGGAGGCTGAGGCAGGGTAATAGCTTGAACTCGGGTTGTGGGGGTTGCACTGAGGCGAGATTGCACCATTGCACTCCAGCCTGGGAGACAGAGCAAGACTCCGTCTCAAAAAAAAAAAAAAAAAAAAGAAAAAGAAAAGAAAAGGGCTTGCCAAATAACCCAGCTGGCCAGTGCCAAATCAGGTTGGGCCTCAGACCCCTGTGTCTCTTTGTGAATGATGGCTCCATCCCCACCATCTGCCAGGCCAAGGCCATGCTGGAACCTTCCAGCAGCCGAGGGCTCTGTGTTCTTCCCCAGGCTCCTAATGCCACGTGGCTGATGCTCCAGGCTGCTCAAGTCCTGTGTGGGTTCCTCACTCTGAAATCCTCCTGCACCCAAGCATGGGGGCGTCTCCCTGGTAGTGACCTCGTCCCTTTCTCCCACCCTCCTCTTGGAGTAGCTCATTTCCTCTGAGGGGTTTGCACCTCATCATCGTCCCCAACCCACCACCTGCCTTCCTCCTACTTCCCTCCATCTCCCCGGGCCTCTCACCTCCCAGGAGTGTGCCCTTCCCCGACTCCTGCAGCCCACAGAGTGACCAGCTCCCTCGCCCCTCACGCCCAGCTTTCTTCCTCTAGCCCCCAGACAGTGGACCACGCGTGGTGGTCCGGCCCTAATCCTCTCACCCCATCCCTGCGGGGTGGTCCAGCCCTAACCCTGCCTCCCCATCCCTTCGGGATGGTCCCGCCCTAAACCCATCCCCCCCATCCCTGTGGGGTGGTCTGGCCCTAACCCCCTCCCCCCATCCCCACCTCTCACCTGCGCAGTGGGCCGCTCAGCGCGTGGCGCATAGTGTCTGCTGAAGGCCTGGCAGCCGTCGACTGAGACTGCGATGGCGGCAGCGGCAAGCCAGGGTCGGGAGCAGGACTGTGTGCGCTTCGTCTACGTGACGCGCTTCGGCTCACACCAGTGCGGTGGTGTCCTGCAGCTGGGTGGCCGCCGAACCCGAGGCCTTTGGGGTCGGGAGTCCGGGGCTGGTCGTCGCCAGGAGAAGCCAACAGAAGCAACAGCGGTGCCTGGCGTCCCAGGTGGCGGCGAGCTGCCCCCAGGTTCCAGGCCCAGGGTCCCCGCGGCCCCTGGTGTGGCGGTTGCGGCCTCTGCCTCTTCCTCCTCCTCCCAGCTGCGGACATCGAGCGGGCGGAGCAGCACCAGGCCTGTGGCGCGTGCAGGTGTCTTGGCGGGGCGGGCGTGCGCCACTGCTGGGCGCCATCTTGTGGCGCGCGGGAGGGTGGGGGCGGCTTTCCTGTCAGGCGATGTTGCCAGTACATGGGGCGAAGGGGATGCCTTGTAATTCCCAGGCTGCAGTGGCCGGGACAGGCACCTGACATAAGAGGAGGGGTTGCTGAACGGAGCCTTTACTGCACCCTTACGGAGGCTTTTGGTCTGCAGTGTTGCCGTTCCAGCTGAGTGACATTGGTTGACTTCGGAAAGCCTCTGACCTAGCGGACTGACTTCTGGGTGCTTTTGAGTCTTCCTGGCTAAAAAAGGGATGAGCTTTACGTTTAAATCAGGAAATATCTTAAATTTAAAAATTATCCTCCCTTAGGTTTTGCATATGTCTTGATCAATTTATGTCTAAATATTTAATCTTTGCTGTTGTAAATGGGATTTCTTTGTATGTAATGCCCTTTAAATGCTTATTGTGTACAGGAGTCAATTTATTTATTTATTTATTTTGAGGCGGGGTCTTGCTGTGTCACCCAAGCTGGTGTGTGGTGGTCCGATCACAGGCTCACTGCAGCCTCGACCTCAGCCTCCCGAGTAGCTGGGACCACAGGTGGGCACCCCCATGCCCAGCTACTTTTTTATCTTTTGTAGACATGGGGTCTCCCTATGTTGCCCAGGCTGGTCTCAAATTCTCGGGCTCAAGCAATCCCCCTGCCTCGGCCTCCCAGAGTCCTGGGATTCCATGTATGAGCCACTGT